CCTAAGAGCTAGGCAATTATGCACAACATTGATACAATTTTTCTTTATCAGGAAAAATTAGTATTCTCTGAGCGGCAATCTAATTAGTCGACACAAATTCAATTATTCCATAATTTATAATCAAAAACTCAATTTTAGCTTGACAAATTTTACATGCTGAGAGCCAGAACCTCAAAGGCAAGTGTGGGTTTAGGTTACAGCTATTCTATGGATCTTTCGGAAATACTAAATAACAAATTCTTGGGTGGAGCAGTTCAGCAGAACTTTAAGTATGAGTGCCTTAACTTGATGATGTGGTCTGGGGTTTCCGATATCGTTTTCCCATATGACTGGACACAGAGAGACGAATAGACAAACAGACGGAGAAACAGTAGATCAAGTCAGCTCTTTGCCCTACTCCACAGACCCAAGTTCTGATTCTTCTATATAGTCTGCCAGATATATCGTAATGCTTTTATATTCATGTGTCGCTGCATTAAATTATAATTATTTAATAGCATTTAAATTGATAAATGTCGCATGCCTACAAAAACAGTAAAAACAAATATATATAGCGTATGTAGCGCTGCAGGCGATATTTTAATTTAAGCACAAAGTGCATAAATGTTTGCTATTTCAATTAGCCACAATTGTCAATTATCATAATTAAGTTTAATACATGTAAAAATATTAAATAAATTCTAAATATTTATTTCAGTGCAACAATAAATTCAGAGAAACAATTGCATTATCACCTTTGTGTTTGAATTTATACATATGTATATAGTATATATAACACATACGTACACATACATATAAATATATATGCGTGTGCGTATATTTCATTGCTTATTTATTGAGCACTTGAAACACAATACAAATGCAATTAATTTGTTATTGCAGTGGCACAAGGGTCGCCCTGACGCTGCCATTCATTTTCATTGCGTATACGACCTGTGTGTGCGTGTGTGCGCGTGTATGTGTGTGTGTGTGTGTTGGTTCGGACAGACCATTGCAGAACTGAAATGGCAATCGTTTGTGTTTGGCATATAGACGCGTTTTCAATGGCAAATATACGCTAAAATTAAAAAAATATGACATAGCATGGCATGGGAACTGTGGCAGCTGCTCAGGCACGATTGCGAGACAGAGTCCCGTGTCTCGTGCCCCGTGCCTCCATGCCGCATGTCTCATGCGTCTCATGTGTCTCATTGTTTTTAATATTGTTGCATAAATATCATAAATATAAATTGTCAAGCAATTGCTATTGGTCCCTGATTATGGATCTGAATGTGTGTGTGTGTGTATGTGTGTGCCCTATTCGTGTTTGTGTTGTTGACTCGCTCATTAGTCACCATTGAGCCAAACGGCAAAAAGGTCGACACGCCTCGTTTGATTGCAAGCAAAAAAAAAAAACAAAAACAAGAAACCGGCGAAAATCGCATTTCATGGCAGCTGAAGCTTACAAATTGGCTCACATTGTTTTGTTTTCTAATATCAACATTAGAAAGCAGGTAATACCCTCTAAAATTTGCGGTTGATTAGAAAATAGGGAATAAATTATTCATTTCAAAATGGTATTGAAACTATTGAATTACATTCAATACAAGTTTTAAAGGGAAGCTTTGCCTATTAAGTTATGTCATGATGAATAATTGATAGGAAATAAATACACAGGTATAGAGAGAGAAAGAGACAGGAAGAGAGCGAATCCATAGGAACGAGTCAACCTTAGGTTAGGAGCGCGGCAAGTAAATCTATGGCAATCATTTGATTGGTCTTGATGTACGGTTAAAGGCAAATTACATACAAAAATCAATATAACATGTTTTAATTTGTCATTACATATTATAAATATACCATACCCTATTTAAATATAAAAAATATATTTATCTTTTAGAACAGTCTAAAGGAACAAAAATTAAAAAAATTAAAATTATATATATATATGAATTATTGCTAATACTAATTTTTCATTTTTAAATTTCAATAGCATTTGTTCTCATATCTTTTACTGAACATATTTACTGAGTATTTTTAACTCTAGCCCACTCCTAAAACTATTTTTCTGCTTCAGCATTTTTTCTCCTTTCCTCTTTATTGTTGCTGATGTGGGCTAAGCGCACTTTGAACACGCCAACCTCTATCGCTGCGTGAATGCTCACCACAAACACAGACACATGCACAGACACAGACACAGACACAGACAGAACAAGACAGGACAGTAAAGGACAGGACATATCAATCCCACGCAAGCAACGCTCAAAGGCACATTCAATGTACGGGGTTACCATAGTTAGGACCATAACATGGCAACAGCGCTAATGCCAAAAGAGTGTAACAAGGACTTTTTGCTCGGTGCGGCTTCACTATTGCCAGAACGTGTTCATAATGTGTTTACGCGTAGGAGGTGCATAGACACTGAGCTGGAGTGGTTAGAGCAATGCAGCCGAGTTGGGTTCAACCTGTTGACTAGACGTTAGTAAATAGAGCATGATGACTGCTAAGTCGATAGATTCTTGGAAAAAATGTAGATTGAGAAATTGATAAGATAAATTCCAGGAATATGGGAATATATTTGCATAGCACACAATTCGAAAGGATAAAAAAAGCAGTTGGATAATACAATCAAATATGTTTTGGCAGAAATTTAAGAATATTTATTTTGAATGCCTCTTGAATCCTTATCAAAACCTTGCAGCAGTCTTATAACTGTCTAACTTGGCGTGAATGTGTCGAGAGCAGCCCTGCTCCCAGCAGCAAGACAAAAGGCACGTAAATATGCACATGAGGCAAAAGTGACGTTAAATGCGACAACGAGGCAAGGACGACGCACACTGACTGACTGACTGACTGACTGGTTGGATCCCTGGCAGCCTGGCTGACTGCTAGGTATGGGAATTAAGTCACATCGTGCAGTCACTGCCAATGCGGACTATGAAAGACATATGAGCGCATGTCATCGATATGCATGAAAGACAATGGAGTCAAGAGCAATTTGCATTAACTTTAAGTTTCCATGAAATCCACAAGCACCTGCAGTCGCCAAATGCTCGAGCCGTAATCATTGGAGTCTATTTAAGTACGCAAAATCCGGGGATATGCAAGGCGCGGCGTAGTATGGCCGAGGGACAAAAAGTTGAGATTTCTTTGACATTTGAAATTAAATATGCAAATGTGCGCTGGGCGTTGGGCCTTGGGCGTCGGTAAATGGCGCCAACAACAGTTGCCATTTCATTCTCTTGATGTATCCTTTGCTTCACTGAATATGATTTCACGTTCTTTATTTTTTTATTCTTATTTTTGTATCGATTTTGGCTGCGACCGTTGGCTGTTGACTGGCGCAATCATAGCGAATCTCCTGGCGCAATGCCGGCTGGGAAAATGAGCAACGAAATAACGCTTATTGAAGAGCGCACATATGCACATATGGCTATCTCTCTTTTTTATATACTTGTAAGTATTATTGCTGGCAATATAATCTACTGTCTTGCTGGCAGCAGGAGGAGAGATTTTATAACGAAATTAATAATGCCATTTTCGACTGCCACAGCTAATGCACGCTGACAGCCAGTGCTTAGCTTGTACATACATATTTATGACATATTTCGCAGAAAATAAATAAAGCAAAATCATTTTAAATTCAACGTTGCGAGCGAGAAGCACACATTAATATACTTCTGTGGAGACATATTTTATATCGAGCCGCCAAAAAGTATGCAACAAAATTTTGCGATCACCGTCTTTGCGGTCCAGCTGTTGATACGTATGTGTGTGCGTGTGTGTGCGCGCGTATATACATGCATGCATACGAGTTCAAGGTTTAGGGCCAGACATACTGACAAGCAGCTGATTTGCAAATCCCTTAAAACTTATAACGGAACCCAAAGAAAATAGAGGCAGGTGCCATAAAAAGTAATGTGTTTTACTATACCCCGAAGCAACTGACAAGTCAAGGCGAATGTCAGGCGACCTTCGTGTCGTCGCATATGTATATAACTACTTTTAGTTTATTGCTCTAAACTAAGCCAAGATGTGCGGCTGTGCGGTTGCACAAAACTTTTATAAAAGGGTTTCAAAATGTCTGTAAGAAAATATTAATATATACAAAATAATTTATATATAGATATACTGTATAAAAGATTATATGAAATATAAATTTAAACTCAAAGTATATATTTAAATGCAATTTTCATTATAAAATATCATCGGCTAAAGGTAAAATTCAACTTTTGGAATGTTGGCAAATAACTATAGCTTTGCAAATTTTTTTTTTTATTTATAAAAAAATAAATAAGTAAATATTCCAAATTCAAGTGAAACGTAAATAGTGAAATGTCCAAACCATTTTCATTTCAATTTGTTGCAACTAGCGCATTTTATTAAATTATTCAAAGAGAGTAGTACAAAAAAAACTTAAACAAAATTTCTTTTCGCCTAATTACCCAGTTCAGTTGACTAAATTAGGAAAACAAATTGTAATTTAATGTGTATCTTTATAAGAATTTCGCTGTAAGCCTAACAAGAATATCTAAGACAAGTTAGTTAGTTGAGTTAGCCAGGCCCAAGGCTCAGCCAGATTTTTTATGAATTAACAATTTTTAATTCAAAGGTATGTTAAGCAATTTAGGGTAAGTTTAAGCTATTGTTGCTGCCATTTTATGTATTTACCTGTCATATTCATGCACAGGCACATAGTTAATTCAAGGCAGCATTTATTATATAGTTTACGGTTCATTGATTAGTTCAATTGATTTACAAAATAATCATATCCAGTAAATTAAAATTACGTACGTACAAAATATTCCTTTTACAAACTAATATCAAAGTTTAGTTATCAACAGTTTAATTTGTGACCGTCGCATGCAGCATGCGCGTGCCTTGCTCTCTCTCTATATAGTACTATACAGTTAATACATTGTATTTCATTTGTATATTTCCTATAGCTGTTGCATGATGTAAGTATTTTACTATTTGCTGTCTGAATGCGTTCCGATTGTTACGTTATGGCTATTTACTTCAATTTCCAATCTATTGTTGTATTATTCTCCTTCTTTTTTCTATTTTTTTTTTTATTTTTTTTTTTTACATCATTAATTGCGGTCTGTGGCTTCAGCTAACTTACATGCAATCAATGACTTTGTATTTTTTTTTTATCACAATTCCATTTATAATTTCCATATTTGTTATCAATTCGCTGTAGATTGTTGAAACCGTTCACCGATCGGCTGCAGTGGCACGAGTTTCATATGGTTTGCAATGCTATTGTCAACTAGTTTACAATAAATAATGAAAGTGTTTATGAATGATAATCAGGCTTTCGTCGGTTGAAATTCATGCTCTATACATATATATCTACATCAAAGAATATTTTGGGGATGGATACGGGGTCGAAACTCAAAATATTGGTGGCTAGTTCAATCATAAGTATAAAACCAAATCCATTTGCAAATTACAATAAAGCTGTCAAATCAAACTATTGATCGATTCGTTAGCTTTGTTGCTGTTGCTGCCATCCGCTGCGGCAATAGCTGCGGTTTCCGTTGCAGCTGCTGGTGGTGGTGCTGTTCCTGCAGCTGGTTTGCCTGCATTTAACTTTGCTTTAACTTTCAACAGCAGAGCTTCAAACGAATCCTCCTGCGGCGGTGCAGCTGGTGCTGCAGTGGGGAACACATACGAATGGTAGTTGTTGATACCCGCATTGTCTGTAAATAGTCAAACTTAATTAATATTGTCAATTAGATTAAATACCTTGTCAACTTACCCAAATCGGCATAGGAGGCGCGACAGAATGCGCGCCGTCCGCCAAAGCTAATGTCGTACATATTGATTTGCGCATCTCTGGCACTCGTGTCAATGGCCGTGAAAGCATCCTGCGCACGTTCAAAGGTCACAAAGCCATACTTCATGCTGCTCAATAACAAAAAGTTCAATTATCAACTGAATATGCTTTTCAAGTATCTTATGTGTTGTCAACTTACCCATTCTCCTTGTAGTGTATGGTTATTTGTTTGATATTGCCATAGGGCAAAAATTTCCGGCGTAACATCTCCTTGGTGGTGTCCGCCTCAATGCGACCCACATAGACAATGCGACGCTCCTCAACAGCTGGCTGCGATACATTGCGATCGGCATAGCCACGCCTATTGTTGTTGTTGTTGTTGCCACTACCATAGCGAGTGGCTGATGTGGAGCGCGAACGCGAACGTCTGTGCGGACTGCGACTCCGATCACGATCGCTGAACTCAGAGCCCGATGTGGAGCAACGGTCGCGCGTCTGATTTTTCGATCGGCGTTTATTGTAACTCGTGCGACGCTGTCGCTGCTGGCGCTCGTATTTTCCAGCTTCCGAATTGGACGAGGAGCTCACCGAGCTACGATGGCGACGTGTGCTGCGCGACGAGTAGCCGCCACCACCAATACTGCTGCCACAGGCTGCCATTGCATCCGAATGCCGCAAGCGTTCCGTGGAATTGGAGTTGGAGCGTGAGCGGTATGAGGCCATGCTGCTGCACGTGGAGGACGAGGATGAGCTGCAGCTGGTTTCATTGGGTGCAGAGCCTTCGATGTGACGTTTGCGATAAGAGCGACGCGTTCGATCACGCGATTGCCGTGCCGTCGGCAATGTCAACAATGGAAATTCGGGTTGCAGATCAGTCTGTGTACCCATGCTGACCATGCGCTTGCGGACCCGATTCTTGGGCAGATGCATGATGACCATATCCTCGCCATGCTGTCCATTCTTATCTGCAGCCTCCGCTGTGGCTACTGTCGGTGTGGCCAGTGCCTCGCAATTCGTTTGCTTAACCACCTCACTCTGTATGCTGGCTATCAGCGAGTTGGTCATGTCCTTGCACGCATCATTGCCATTGGAGATGTTGTACAGCAGAACCGAGGATTTCAACAATGAGCGCGATGAGGCTGTCGTTGTCTTGTTGTCTCTAAGCGCAACACTCGCCTGATGCGGCGGTATCGTAATGTCCGTGTTACAGCTAACCGAAACAATGATAATCTCTTCATAATCCGCCTGCAGCTTACTGCTGGCCACGGCTTGCGTTGTGGGCGCTGCGTCCGTCTCGGGCTCAGCCTCCATGCAGTAGGTGTCCTTAACAATATCTTTGAGAGGCGGCAGTTTCGTCACTCTGGGCACCTTCGCAGACACCCGCGAATCAATAATCTTCAGCTGCTGTGCTCGCTTCATCTCCAGCATCCGTAGCACCTTGTTCTTGGCCACAGTGATGGGATCTGTTGGAACTGCTGCCTCGCATGGCGGATGCTTCAGACTGTTGATAATGTTGCTGATGGCTGCTTTGTGCGGCGATTGTTGCGCCTTCTGAATAGGTGTTGTTGGTGGCACCACCTTGCCGGGCTCCACTTTTACTTGCTTGGCAGGCATGGCAGCCGGCGCCGCCACCGTTTTGGATGATGTAACAATTGTACCGCAGCGGCGCTTCTTGTACTCCTCTAAATTGAGTTTGCGCTTGGGCGCCGGCGTTGCAGCCTCTGCATTGATGGAGGTATTGGCCGCATCGCGCTCATGCTTTAACAAAGCCAAGTTCTTGCCCCCCAGACCCAAACCAGTATTAATTGTTTTCTTCTCCGTCTCCGTTGGTTTGGTTATAGCTTGCTGTTGCTGCTGCTGCTGGTGCTGGTTCTGCTGCTGCCTCCCAGTTGGGGAAGGTTTGATGGTAGCCTCTTGTATTTTCTTAGCCGACACTTTGGACTTGCTGGCCGCGACTGTGCCAGCCGCCTTGTTGCCCACTTTACGTTTCAGGAAATCGCATTGTTTCTTGTTAGGCACCAAACAAATGTTGTGGCTGGTCTTTGGCTTCGCTGTGCTAGCGACTGCCTGTGAAGTCGGAGCTGCTTGGGTAGGACGATTGCCTACAACGCACGTTGCCTTGGCTGAATTTTGATTCTGAGCCGACGCCGCTTTGTGCTATGTGGGGACATCATTTGAAGAATGAGTAACATACTTCAAAATGCTTATCGCACACCAATTTCTACTTACCTCTGCGCCACTCATACGCTTAGGCGCTTGCTTGGGACACCAGGACGGATCGGCTTTAACATTGTCCACATAGCACAAATCATCAGTGGCGATGGGCGCGTCCATTTGACTGCGCACCCACAGAGACTCATCCACATCAATCACATCGACAGTCTCCACATCGATGATTGAGTCCGAATCGTAATCGGAGTCACGACTCTTGGATGTTATGATCACAGGAGCAGGCAGCGCTGCGGCTTGCCTCTCAGCTGTAAGAACTTGCGGATTCTTAGCTTGGACTAATTCGGTTTGTAATTTGATAGGAGTTTCTGGTGCCACGGGCACAGCTGTGACATGTTGAACGTTCCGCGGACGCAACGAATTAATCGTATCGGCGAAATCATCTTTGGTGATAAAGTCAGCCAAATCAAAGTTATTCACATCAATGTTCAGACCCAGGGCATCCGCTTCAGAGCAAACGGTATTTGTGCTCAGGGTACGTCGCTTACTTTCCGCGTGGTTCATTGCGAATACATCTGTGGGCATCAGGCGCTCATCGACGTCATCGTAGTCACTGGAGTGTGACTCATAATCTCCTATAGAAGAGCTGTCGGTGCGCGTACGAAATGTGGAATTGCTGCACTGGCTCTGTACATCATCGTCCCCAAGCCCACGACCGTCTGGATCGAGGTGTTCGTCATCCGAATTAATTAGCAGGCTGATCTGCCGCTGCTGCTCGAAGGCCGCCTCAGCATCGCAGCCTGTGATGCCTCTATAGACCTGGCCATTGAGCATATTGGTATCATCGCTCAGCTGCTGCTCCACAAAGTCGCTGTAGATGAGCTGCCAAAATAAAAATAAAACTTAATTAGAATAAGTCTCAGAAGCGCATAGTTCCACAAGCATTACCAAGTTTTTTCTGTTCTGCAATTGCTGCTCGGCTTCATTTTGGCTGAGCAACGATTCATCTGTCGGCTCAATGGGCAGGATCCCATTGAGTGTATCAGTTAACTGTAAACTATTTAAGAAATATATAAATAATGACGACTGCTTAAAACTTAAGGTTAATTAAACGTACTCATCACTGGTTGACCAGAAATTTGGCTCTGGATCATATTTAACAAAGTTCCCCTCGAAAGGATCCTCGTGAAACACATTTAGCATACGTGAATCCATAATGTCGTGTTATAAAGTGTCTGCAATTGAATTAGAAAAAATCAACCTTCAATCAACATAGGCTAGTGTTGATTAACACTGTAAAAAAAAAACTGCCGCAGGTGGCCTTTAAAATTTGTTGACATTCCACATGGGAAAAATCGTCTCTTTTCTCGCCTAACGTCACGCGGTAAGGAACACAATTTAATAGCTGTCAGTTTTTAAAAAAAAAAAAAAAAAAAAGTCATCAAAATTTGTAACAAATTTATTGCAAAAATAGAAAAAATACTTAAAATGCCCAAAAAAGTAATTACTCGTCGTCAGCGCAAGGCTGCCGAGGCAAAGCGCCAATCAGAATCGAATGCACGTGCTACTGCGGCAAGTGAGGCCCAGAACGGCACTGCAGCGGCAACTACCCCGAGTACGTCGGATGCTGTGAAGCCGGGCGGCAGCAATGGAGCTAAACAGGACCCCAAGTGTGGCAACAAAAATGCATCTCTAAAGACAACCAATACCAAGACAGCCGTACCGCAACAGGGGCAAGAAGCGGAGAATATGCCAGAACAATCTGCGGAAAAGGCAACTGGAACAGTTGTCGTTAAGGACAAGACCACCCAGTCGGATAACAATGTGTTCGACCTGCTTGCCGACGAGAACTTACAGAAGCAGGTCGGACATTCGGCAGAGTGTCAAGCTCAGCTACCAGCACCGCCGGCCAATGAACAGGCCGGATCGTTTAGCAAGACCCTAACACGACGTGCTGTGGCAACATTCAGCAAAATCCAGAAGCTCTCGAAGGTGTTCAACAAGAAGATGAACTACAAGACCCCGCCGGTCAAGGGGACCGAGCCAATGAATTTGGCCAACGTTGAGTTGGATGAGACTGTGAAGACTGCGCTGAATGGGCCACCGGGCAGCGATAACCAAGCCAATAAGACCTGCAGCTGCGAATTCTGCAAGGTGGTATTGAATCAGCTCTTGGCTGGCAAGAAGCGCACAAACGATAAGAAACTGTGCAAGAATGCTAACAGGCGTCCGCCAGCCAATGCTGCGCGTGCCACATCGCCAGGTCAAAGCAATGGAAATGAGTCTGTAGGAACTACTCTGCCAGCAGAGGCGAAGGTCGAAGATGAGAGCAAGACCCCACAGACACCGTCGATAGCATCCAGACGCCGCATTATCCAAATGCTCGAGAAGAAGGAGAAACTGCTGGAGAAGGATGTGATGAAGAAAATCAAGCAGCTCAACAAGCAGAATAAAATATTGGCAACTGAGCAGCAAACTAAGAAACCGGATGCTAAGCAAGTCGACCAAAAGGAAAGCAAGCCAATTGTGGCCAAGACACAACCGACACCAGTGGATGCCAAAAAGAAGACTATGCCAAGAGTTGCAGTTGCCAAAGCTTCGTCAACTGTCAAGCAGAAAGCAACTGAGCCGGCCAAAATTCCAAAAACTGTGGTCAAGTCCAAGCAGCCAGCCAAAGCTGACGTATCGAGTGCTCTAAAGCAGCTCGCTGCTGCTCCAGCAGATGCCCCTCCGCCTAAAGTTATAGGCAACACGGAGTATTTTATTCTAACGGGCACCGATGCACAGTTGTCAGCTCAGCTCAGTAGTTTGGCAGCTAACAACGTGCGCATTGAAAACTGTCTGGAGCTCGATCCAAGTGTTGCTGATAAAATTGAGCAACAACTGGAGCAGTTAAGCCAAAATCGTGAACAAATACTGCAGCGCATGCGTGAAAAACAGAACATGTTAGCCAAGCGCAGAACAAAGCGCTCAAAGGAACCCAGCAAATATACATAAATTGCAATCGAAGATGACTGTAAAACAGAATGACAGGTCAAGAAAATTAAGTTTTTACCTAAAAAAAATGTCGAAAGCAAACAATAAAAAAAAAATTTATTTATACTTTTTCAAATTGCCAAGAGAAATGCATATAGTTACTGGCAAACTGGATCTATTTATTTATTTAATATTCATGCGGATTCCTTTTTTTTTTTTGCTCGTCTAAAAATGTAAGTAGTCTATAATAAGTAAATAAAAATTAACGAATATTTAACAGGGGCTTCTACTCCAATTTAAGACTGTTCCATATGTCCACGTGCATTTGAACCCACAATCGATAACATGTTTTGTTTCGCGCTCACAGTTTAACAAGCTGGCAACGCTGAAGTGCACCAAACAGTCGCACAAAGCAAAACGGCAAAAAGCAGCGTGGCACGTTTTGAGCAAGCAACATGCTGTTATTTGCCACCCTCAATGTGCCGCATGTCAAAAGCCGCTTCAATGGTTGTGGGTTGAGGATACGCAACTTGCAAATTGATAACAATTTTTGCTCCTTGCTAGTTAAATTCATAAATTGCATTTTAACAAAATGTATAGCATCACGAATAACAATAACAACAAACACCGCACAATCTACATGCATACACACACATACACAGTCACACCCACAGACGCACACATATTCAACGGCAAAGCCACCACGTGTGTGTGAGTGCCGCCGCCGCGCCATGTGCTTTTGCTATGAGCGTGTGTGAGAGGGTGTGCGTATAAGTGCACGCGTATGTATGTTGAAGCCTATCAACAATATTTTCGAATATATTGTTAAACTTTACTATCAAATTTCACACATCACATACACCCACACCCACACACTTTCGAAGTACGCATGTTTTGCTTAGAAACCGATTTCTTTAAAAAAATAAGTGACAGGAGATGGCAGACGGCGAAATGCGAGCCCACCAGTTCCATGCGATATTTTGTACATACATACATATGTATATAATCACATACATATCTATGTTTTAGCTCGCATATCATTTGCACTTGCTGGCGGGAGGAGCACCTGTGTTTAGCTTATACACTTTGATCTGCGACACCGATCGTATATTACCTTTAAAGAAAGCTGCAGTAAACTATGCTGCACTTCTCAAGCTGATCACTGTTTTTAAATTATCTTGAAAGTTTGTTTTGCTGTTTTCTGTTTATCTGCTTTAACCTCACATGCTGAACCGCGTCGTATTGCCAACGCACAAACACTGTTTGAACTGTCTGATTTAGTTATTATTGAAATTTTAGGGTTGCAGCAGTTTCTTATTAAATTTATAATTTTTGAACAAATAAAACACGGATTTGACTTTATTTTTATCTAATAACTTTATGAATCACATTGCTGAAATGTGTTCACGTGGACGCGAACCGCGGGGAATAATTTTTTATTTGAAGAATGTGACCGTTGTCGCTGTTTCTGATTACAGCTGATTCTTAAACAGCGAACAATTTCATAACATAGGCGCAACTGTTATTAACATAAACAAAACGAAAAAGAAATAACGTGCTTTACCGTTAACGGTAAACATATTTTTTTTAAATAAAAATAATAAAAACTTACAAAGCAGATCAATTACTACACTGGTGCTGAAAAAAAAAAACTTTAATAATAATTTTTAATATGTGTAAAAATTATGTGAAACATGCAAAGAAAATAGCGACAGCTAAATTGATCACTTGTCGATTTCTTCAACATCGATTCTTTTTTCTATGCTTCTTTAGGTGAAAACCTCCGATCGTTGCTTACGTTGCATTACAGTTGTAGAAGCATTCAACTTCTAAGATCTCCGATACTTTCCAGACGTTCATTTCCCATGATTTATTCCACTGGTTGATCTAGTAAAAAAAAAAAATTCAAAAATTATTGATTATCAAATTTATTTGTATGAACTTTAAATTAGCAGCTAGAAAGACAATATGGAGCTGCTGACAAACGGATGTATATTTATATTGATTTTATTTTCTTTTGTTAAAGATAAGTTTCTGAGATTGTGGGACAAAAATTTGTTGAAAATCTGCCCACAGCATACAAATTTTTAGTTCGGCTCAATTGCAATACATTCTGTGTACATATATTAAATTAAAAAAACTTGGATACGTGTGTAATCTGTTATGTGCGGAAGATATTCATATAAATAATTAACGACGCTTAACGCTTGTCCATTCGCCATCATCTCCGGCTTTGTTTTCTGAAATGATAATTCAATTAGATTTTTAATTACCTATCAAGTCGCTGTTATTAATAGTCTGGACTCACCCTTGTCCTGTGGCTGATCGCGCTTGACTGGAGGTTTTTCATCGCGTGGAGATGGAGCCGTACGCCAGTTACCACCACCACCACCACCACCGCCGCCTCCTTCCTTTGGCCCAGCGCCACGAATATCGCGTCTGTCGCCAGCCGGACGGCGATTATCTCGATTATCGCGATCGTTTTGACGAGGCGAATCGCGCCAGTTGCTGCCTGTATCACGCTGGGGCTGATCGTCACGACGGAAGCCACCGCGATCATCATCACGGCGTGGTCCATCATTACGGCGGAAGGAGTCACGATCGCGATCGCGATCACGATCACCACCAAGACGCTCGGAGCGATCACCACCACGACGCCACTTGTCATCGCGACCAGACGGACCACCGCCAGCGCCGCCACCACGTTCTGAACGCTCCATACCAGTGTTAGCAGTACCAGGACCACGCTGTGGTTCGACAGGTTCACGGCGCACACGCCATGACGAATCAGCACCGCTATCAGTGTCCTTGCGTTCTGGGCGATCATTCCGATCGCTACGCTCAATGCGTTCGCTACGATCATTACGGTCATTGCGATCGCTACGATCGTTACGTTCGTTGCGATCGTTACGGTCATTGCGATCACTTGTAGGAGCATTACGGCGCCACTCGCTGGCACCGCCAGCTGGAGCAGCACTTGGTCGTTCGCTGCGATCACCGCGTGGACGCCAGACATCGCGCTCCTTTTCGCTGCGCTCACGCTCGACAGCCACCTCGCGGGCGAGACGTTCACGATCTTCCTGGATCTTACGTTCGGCCTCCTCCTCCTTGGCACGTTGCTTTTCATATTGCTGACGACGCTTCTCATCCTCTGCCTCACGTTCCAGACGACGAGCCTCGGCAGCGGCACGCTCTTCGGCCTCGCGAGCAAGACGTATCTCTTCCTCCTTGCGGAAACGTTCCTCTTCCTTCGCACGCAGGTAGGCTTGGCGGCGTTCCTCACGACGGCGTACCACACGCTCAGCGAGACGCTTCTTACGCTCCTCGGCAAGAGCAATTTCGAACTTCTTGAGTTTCTCAACGAAGAGCGAGGCTCGCTCTTTCTTAAGTGCTTCGAGAAACTCGTCGCGATCGGGATACATACGCTTAAGACGCTCCTGCTGGCTAACGGCATCCTTGCGTTCGGCAATTGCGTTTTCAATGCGAGTGGCTTCGGTGGCTTCCCAAAACTCTTTGTCCTTGACATTTTTCTCAGCCAGATATTTCTCAAAGAGTGGAATCTCCTCGAGACGTTTGGCACGCTCAAAGTAGTCAATCTTCTTCTCTTGTGACTTGAGTTTGGACTGCAGCTCCTTGCGCTCTCGCTGCAGCTCTTCGCTTTCACGCATAGCAATTTGCTCAGCATCGAGCTTCTTGATGCCTTCCTCATCCAATTTGGAAAGCATTTTCTTGCCGTGCGCAGTCTGCGATATTTGTTGCACCTTCTCCTTAAGGCTCTTCTCCTTGATCGCCTGGATTTCGTTCTCATGACGCTTGCGCTCCCGCTCCTCCTGTTCCTGCTCCAATCGCTTCTGCTCAGCCAACTTGGCTTTGCGTGATTCCTCTTCGTGGCGCCGAGCTTCCTCCTCCTCGCGCGCATTATTCTGCTTCTCAATGAACTCCTTACGATCTTCAATGATCTTCTGGCGTTGCAGAATGCGCTGATGTTCACGATCCTTGATCTCATGATAATGCTGCACCATTTGGCTGCGCAGCTTAGCCCTTTGATCACGCTCCCGATTCGGATATACAATAGAAACGGCTCGAGTTAACACGGTGGACATGTTGACTAACTGGGAACGAATCTGCTCCGAGGGCATTGACTGCAGTGTCGGTCCGTCAGGACGATATTCGCGCTGACTCTCAGTTAGATCAGTGCCGAAGTAAATGCTGTTGCGCTGATGATCGATGCGTATTTGCATGTCATTGTGACGCACTGACTCCACCAACAGCTTCTCCAGCTCAAAAATATTGCAGAACGGCGCCAGTTCCAGCAAACGTTTAAACTCGATGCTTTCATAGACTTGGGAGATTTGGCGAATTAGACGCATTATAGTCACATCCTTCAATGATTGGATGTAAGGCGTTAGCAGAGTATTCTCCGTTTCACTGGCTTCAATGGTATCCACAATAGACTGAATACGCTTGCAGAGATTGAGTGGATTAAAGTCCACCTCGAGCCAGTTGTATAGGTTACGGAAGTCTTCGGATACCAGATTCGGCACATTCAAGCGCACCTAAATAATAAAATAAATAAATAAATATATACACATTTTGTTGCATTTCTTCTACTTACAACTTCCCGGATTAGAGAGACACGCGTCGGCGGCTGGGGCAGACCCAGCAGTACGGCCAGCTTTTGGGCCTTCTCCAGAGGGCTCTTGTCCGCCTCGATGAACCGATCGAATTCGGGATGAGCGGAAGGCAGAGGTATCGACAGCGTAGCCAGAAGTACATGAGCTGCCATACGCTGCAAATCATCTTTAGTAAGATTCTTCTTGAGCTCGCGAGTCAACTGGAACAGCTTGAGCAAAGCGGCTGCATGGAAGAGCTGATTGCCAGCCTTGCTGAAGACCATAGCCAATTTCTGATAATAATTAGCCATGGTTTTTGGCACCGGCGTCTTCTTGGACATGGCCATCAGACCGTGAATGTCCTCGATTGCCTTGTAGGCTTCTTGCCACAGCTCCATCTGTATGGCCGAGTCTAACAGGTAGAGCCTGGTATCCAGGCACAACTGTTGTGTCTCTACCTTGTTGATAGACACGCCTGTTGTTTGATTGCTGCTCTTGCAGATGTCTTCAAGATGCTTACGCAGCTTGTCGCACAAGCGACGGAATTCACTCTTGCGATTGTACTTCAAGCAGAACTGAAAGGCCATGCGAGCAATATCGTGATAAAGCGCCTCGCAATGAGTGTTGACGCGCAACAGCTCAAGACACTGGCAATAGGATTCCCAAAGGAATTTAACCCATGGCAACAAAATAGTACGATCCGAACGATCCTGGGCATCCTCTCCGCAAACGGCACTCATCAAAATGCTCTCTGGTGTCGCAATATTATCAAGATCATCCAATTCCAGCACAGCCACGGCGGCCGATGATTGCGCTTGGGCCGCCTCGGTATGCTCCTCGGCCATTTTTAAGTAGCCGCGTATTACATTCTCCAGTGAGTTTACATTCACCAATTGGAACATGTTACGATATTGGAAGAGACCCTCCTTGGCAATATGCGACTTCTTGAGCTCCACGCACAAGTACAAGTACTTGAACATGAGAGGCTCAATGACCGTCTCGGAGTAGGCATAGTTCCACCTCTTGTTGCGGAAAACCTCCTGCAACGTATCCAGGGCACGCAAAGGCTTTCCGACCTCGATAAATTCTGCATAGCAGAACAAAAGAGACGAGAAAAAACGGTTTTACAAATTTCCATTCACAATGGTACACAATTGTGCGCCTGTCACTTTTGACATTTCGCTTTGACCAGCTAATTCGCTGCCGCATGGAAAATTTTCTCGCACTTACCATTGGCTCGTTTAAGAGCATTTTCCGGACGTTGAGTGTAACGTGCCATTTTAACTTGATTACAATTTAATGCACTGACACTTTATACCGTTTTTTTCACAGTGTTTGGACAGCGATTAGGCTTGCTGTAGCAGAAAATTTATAAAAATCTTCAGCTCGCCTACGTGTGCCTCCGAAGTTTATGCAAAATGACCGAGTTGACGTTTCACAGAGTTGCACCCTATCGGCCCAATCGATAAAACTTGCAAAATAATCGATATGTTAACACCTATGTAAAGTTAAAATAAACTATACACGCTTATGCACATAATGATATTTACAATTTAGAAAAATGACAAAGTTATGGAAAAAATATATACTTTGGTTTGCCCAGGAGCACGTTGACTTTCGTGTCGCCGAATTCGAATCGATTGTTAAATTGTTTGGTCTACAATTTCGAAACCTTTCAGAACATCGCTTGGTAACAGACATCGGCCAACTTGATTTGAGCCAATTTCAGTATAAAATATTTTTTACAGAAACCGTTTTGGCTAGTGGAATTTCCAAATGATGAAACAGCACATCAATATGCATCCAGGTCGATTGCACTACGCTCTATCATCGAGCTATATTCGCATGCCCACACATTTCCTGAATTTCATAAACAATTGCAAAATCACGTGCATTTGCATCAAGGAGCGCTCAAGGAATTTTTTAAGGCCAATAGCTTCAAGGTAACCGTGGAGACATACAACAAGCACTTTAGCCAGCGCGAGAAGGTGGAAAAGATCGAAACTATGGACTATTTGCCGATCGAAGGAGCTGTCAATCTGAAGAATCCACAAGTAGAATGGTGGTATCTGGAATTTTGGGGCTTGGATCCCACAGCTGTACCTGCTGAACCCGAAGATATTCTCTTTGGACGCATGTTGGTGCACGGACAGCGGCATTTGATCAAGCAGCTCTCGCTGAAACAACGGAAATTCATTGGCAACACAAGCATGGATGCACAGCTCAGCCTCCTGATGGCCAATCAAGCTTTGGTGCGTGACGGCGACCTCGTTTTCGATCCTTTTGTGGGCACCGGCTCGCTGCTGGTGAGTGCAGCGAAGTTTGGAGGGTATGTGCTGGGCGCCGACATTGACTTCATGATGGTGCATGCACGCTGCCGGCCCAGTCGCATTACCCAGAAGGTGCGTGATAAAGATGAGAGTATTCGCGCTAATCTGCAACAATACGGATGTGCGAATCGGTACATGGACGTGTTGGTTGCTGATTTTTCAAATCCACTGTGGCACAGGCGAATTACCTTCGATAGCATCATCACCGATCGTGGGTACAGCTTTTTCTAAGAAGTCATCAATCGGAATTTACGCAAATTTCTCTTTACTGATAGCTCCGTATGGAATACGTGAGGCAACGGAAAAGGTGGAGACTAAAGTTAATCCCAAGGATAATACCCGAACAGCTGATATGGCGCATTATCCCTCAACCTCACACTACGCACTGCACCATTTATATGCGGATCTACTGGAATTTGGTGCAACGCATCTGAAGCTGGGCGGACGCCTTGTTTGCTGGCTGCCCTTTCATCGGTAAGTAAACGAGGTACAAGCCACAGTTGGCAAACTCCTAATATTAACTACTTCTAGTGAGGATTACAATGAAACAATTATACCTCAACACACGCATCTGCGCCTCGTGGCCAACTCGGAGCAGCCACTAGCTGGAAATACAGCACGACGTCTGCTGACATATGAGAAGCATATGGAGTACATCAAGGAAGAAAAACTCAATGAGAATTCCAATGACACACAGCTCACCACAGCTGTTTCGCAGAACTTTAGAGAACGTTACTTTAATACAAATGGTGAAATAGAATCCCGGCAAGAGCGACGCATGCGAAAGGCTGCTCTAAGGGAGCAGGGTCGCTTGGAAATGGAGATGCGTGGGAAGCTTCCCAGTGATGGGCGGGCCAAGAAATGTGATCTAAACAAAGCGCGTTTCAACTAAATAATTTACTAATACATAAACATAAGCATAAACATATCATTGGTATTAATTAGTGACTCGCGCTTGTGTGTCTGCCCGCACGCAGCACTCGAAGATCTTCCCAAAGCTGTCCAGCAGGACATCTGTTGCCTCGGCGATACTGGTGTGTCTTCCAAGCTCCTCTGTGAGTGAGGTGACGCCCTTGCCCTCGATGCCGCACGGCACAATGTGTTCAAACCATTTCAGATCAGTCGAGCAATTGAGGCCAATGCCATGGGTTGTGACGTAACGAGAGCCGTGCACTCCGATAGCACAAATCTTGCGATCATCAACCCAAATCCCTGTGTCTTTTGTGGTAGTTGCATTTGGTATGCCCATTTGACGACAAGTTTCGATCACTGTGCGTTCCAGTGTGCCGACGTACCATCGTATGCTTGGCGTGAACTGGCGCAGGTTTATTATCGGGTAGGCAACCAATTGACCGGGACCGTGAAATGTTATAAGACCTCCGCGATCAGTACGATGGAAATCGGCGCCCAGTTTGCGCAGTTTCTTCTCGTCCTCATCTGTGTAGCCTTTGGTTCGTATGCCAATGGTGTAGACTGGGTCATGCTCCAATAGCAAAAGGAAATTACGAAATTCTGAATACTGTGACACATTTTGTTTAGCCAGTTCCTGCTGTATTCTCAAACCAGCTGCATAACTTTGTCGGCCAGCGCGCACAACAGTTACTATGGGCCGAGCTGTTGGCATTTCGTGTTGATTTTAGCAGAGCTGCTGTTTTCAGCAGTTTGCTAAACAGATGAACTAAGTGTCTGACAATCGTTCATTTTATGCGTTACATACTTTTGCGCCAACCTGCCACCCATAAATGCTCAACATGTCACTGTTAAATAGTGTGACCGGGTGGCATTGCATACCTCTTCGAAATTTGGCGCGTGTTCGATATGAAGTACTAACAGGTTCTTGGGGGTACTTGAAAAATATATGTCAAAAGCGCTTTACCCGATTGTTGTAGTGTTAAAAGTATACAAAAAATGTTGTATATTGAAGACTATAATAAATGTGATTTTGCTCAATCGTCCTAATATATTTCCAGTAGATATAAAATTAACAGCGTGTTAAATGTTTACAGCCAACATACATAGATACAGAGCGCAGTTGCCACATCGCCCGAATAATGAACACCAATCTAAATCTTTTGTCATTGTTTCGTATATTAGGAAATCACATATATTACCAAAATTAGCTTAGCAAATTATAATCACAAAAATAAACAATACCAGATTCCAATAAATATGCAAAAATAGTATTTATTTCGCAAATTCGCGTTAAATCGATTATATCTATGTAGCCCTGTTTACGTTTATTGTGAGTGGCATTGGTGCCACATACACTTACACACGCAAGCATAATATATTATTTGTGTTAAAACTTATTGCAAAAAGAGAAGTGTAGCAACTGTATTTCAATTCACGTTTGCAATCAGTATTTGCAAAGAATTGCGTTAACTCATAAATGGAGCGCCAAGCGTACAAAACGCACAAACGCATGAAATTCTAATAGGACATAGCGTCAGTGCAAGCAAAAGGCACTGGCAAAAGTTTTTTTTCTTTGGAGGATATGACGACGCGGACACGTCAGGATGAGCGCGTTTGCTCGAGTGGGATTGTCGAGGATGAGGCTTTTGCTGCCGCCTATCACAATTTGCCAACACACAGTCCGGAGTTTGCCAATTTTTTGGCACACCAGCAACATCAGCAGCAGCAACAACAGCAGCAACAGCATCAGCATCAGCAGCACCATCAACAACATTTGTTGCATCAGCATCAGCAACAGCAGCAGGGGCAGGGGCCATTAATGTGGCCACCACACATGGGTGTCCAATTTCCACCCCACCATCCACACGCCCCACCGCCTCCACCCCATCATCATCATCAGCCACCACAACCGCAGCCAGCTCCTTCTCCACACGTCTACAATGAATATTTATACAATCTTGCGTACTCCGGACCACCAGGTCAAACCGAAACGTATTCTGTGCTGCCTGTAGGCCATGGAAATTTCCTGAAGGTGTATCACTGTCCAGAGAATGCCGTAAATGATGTTTACGCCCAGCATGCGGCAGCGGCTGCAGCAGCAAACTACTCGCATATCAATATTGCACCAGCGAACCAGCATCATCAGGCAGCTGCAACAGCTGGGCAGAATCAGGCACAGCCACAGCCATCGACAGCACAGCAAACGCCACTATATGAACTGTTTGCCACCAATCCGCTGCTGCCAAAGCCAGAGATGAATATTATAAGCCAACAGCAGCAACAGCAACAGCAGCAGCAGCAGCAACAGCAGCAACAGCAACTACAACAACAACAAAAACAACAACAGCAGCCACAGCAAACACCTCCACAATTCCATCAGGTTGATGATATCCCCACTGGCGTCACTTCTGCTGTGGCAAGCAGCAATAGCGCCAACTTGTTTATAAATAACCTTGTAAATAACTGGTCCCCCAATTTAACGGGCAGCAGTTATATACAGTTCGGCGCTGAGGCGCCTGAAATAACGAACACCTATGTGGAAGCAACGCCGACGGCAGCGGCAGCGACAGTGCCGCAACAGCCGCCGTCCCCCGTTAAATTGCAGCAACCACAAATACAGTCGCCAGCGCCACTAGCTGAGTATCATGTCAATAGCGTGGAGGTACAACCGGGTAACTCAGCCGCCAAAGATGTGAAGCTAAATGAAGCATTAGCAGCGGCAACAACAATAACAACAAAGGCTGCAGAATCATCTGCAGCCGCAGCAACCACAACCACTGCCCTAAAGAAGCCACCGATTGTGGCATCTGGTCCGCCCGAGGGCAAGAAGCGCATTGTGGCCGAGGTGAAGCCCATGCCCATGTCCTACTCGGACGTCTTGAGCAAGGGCAGCTCACTGCGTGGCACCGCGGCAACAATGCTCGCCAGCAACCATGCGGGCAATGAGACACGCTCGGTAAATAATTTGGAGAATGGCCATCCAACACAGCGACGATCAGGCAAGGAGGATAACAATGGCAATGGGAATAGGGAGATGCGCAATAATGCTAAGCGTTCGCCGCTGCACGAAATCAAGGATGGGCAATCTAGCAATGCAACAGGACATCGCAGCAAGAAGCGCCAGCAGTCGAATCAAGGAGCACAGCCAAAAGCGGTAAGGCCCGTGTATAAACTCGAAAGCTAGTTTTTACCTAGGAAACTGAAAATTGTTTCTCGAGGTGTATCAGCATTCATTGATTGTCAATAGCTAATGCCAGAATTTTGAGCATTTAATATATAGATAGATATTTTTGTCATATATTTATTGAACTAATATTTCTGTTCTACTTGGGCAGCCATTGCAGCAGCAACAGCAACAACCACAACAACAGCAGCAACAGCCCCAGCCCCAGCAGCAACAACAACAGTTGCCGCCACCATTTAAATCTGGTAAAGCCAATGCGGAAAAGAAGCGTTCTGCCCAAACGAAATTCGGAAACAACACGAATAGCACGAACAATCTGAATGGATTCACAGCCAAAGCGAATGACAACAAGGCAAATAGCAATAGCAGCAGCAACGGCAACGGCAGCAGCAGCAGCAACATGGCTACCAGCAACAGCAGCAGTGCTCCCAGCAGCAGTAGCAGCAGCAGCAACAGCAGCAACAGCAATAATAACTTTTCCAGCCGCAAGTCAAACAATGGCAACAACAACAATCGCAGCAATAGCAACTCGCATGCAAACTACTCGAATGCCAATTCGAATAATTCCAATGGCAACAACAACAACAGCCACCACAACATGAGCAGCAACAGCAATAACAATGGAAATTCCTCATCGTCGTCGAAGCGCTATGCGGGCTCCTCGAATGCAAATTTAAGCTCCAACTCTGGCTCGTATTCGTACTCCTCGAAGCGTAATCGAAGCGGTGCATATGGCTCATCCAATTCGCCAGCTCATGCGAGTGCCTCAAATCGCAACTATGAGCTGGCCAAACGCATTCTACACACCTGGTGGATCTATACGCTCAAGCTGATCACCTGGCTGTTCTATTTAGTCTACGACATTGTTGTGCTCGGCTGCAGCATGGCGTATGACCGCCTCACCACAGCGTATTTGGCTGGCGTCGCTTATGCACGCCAGCTGCACAAGGAACTGAAGCAGAATTCGGGCAAACCGAGCATCTGGTGGCGCAACTATTGGCGTCGCTTCGATGCCCGCTTCAAGAAGAACTCTCGTTGGGCATTTTGGCGACGCTTCTACAAGCGAAAGCCGCCGGAGGCTAATGCAGAAGCATTCAAAACGGGTCGACTGCCGCAGACGGGTGAAGAGGCCATGTACTCGCTGTTGAACTGCAAGGGAAAGGATGCCTATAGGTTTGTGTTAACAAACAACACTAAAAACCATTAGCTATAATAACATTGTTTTATTGCAGCATATTGGGCGTGCCGCCGGATAGTCCACAGGAGCAGATACGAAAACACTATAAGAAAATTGCTGTTCTGGTGCACCCGGATAAAAACAAGCAGGCGGGCGCTGAGGAGGCGTTCAAGGTGCTGCAACGCGCATTCGAATTGATTGGTGAACCGGTATATAAATCTTACAGATTGTCAGTTAAGATCATGTATTTAATGGCTTTAATGCTTGCAGGAAAATCGTCTTGCCTATGACCAAAGCATTGCCGAGGCATTGCACGCGGAAAAGGCGTGGACGGAGCTGCACGACTTGCTATCGCAACTGCAAACCAAAATGACCGAGGCGGCCAATACCATAAGGTGAGCGCCACGAGTGACGTAGCAAAGCATCTAAATCTTAAAGTAATAATTTCTTGCATCCACAGATGTAGCACCTGTGCGCAACGTCATCCTCGTAAGCTAACTGAACGTCCTCATTATGCAGCGCGTGAATGCGCTTCTTGTAAGATACGCCATTCGGCAAAGGATGTGAGTAGAGAGCGGCGTAGACACTGTTCACTATTTTTAGTAATATATTTTCCATTGGGCAGGGCGACATTTGGGCAGAGACAAGCATGCTGGGTCTGCGCTGGAAATATTTGGCGTTGATGGATGGCAAAGTGTACGACATTACCGAGTGGGCTAACTGCCAAAAGGGTGCGTTGTCGCACTTGGAGCCCAATTCTCATATGGTACAGTATCGTATTGTGCGCGGCGCTCAACAGCAGCAGCAGCAACAACAGCAACATCAGCAGCAACATCATCATCAGCAGCAGCAGCAGCAACATTCACACCAGCAGCAAGCGCAATCGCATGCACATCATCCTGGCGGACCAGCCAGTGGTGTCAGGTAGGTCCACATTGATCATACAAAATGAATTCGTTTTTCACTTATACATTTGCAGTGAGGCTACGCTGCACGAGTTCTTGGACAATTTGTATAGCGGTCAGCATCCGGGTGCGCCCAATGCCACGCCTTTCGCTGGCAATTCACGCCGTCGCACGCGACGCAACTAAAGTTTGCTGTGCGTGGCATAGACTTAAGTGTTTTTAAAATCTCCAATCTACTACAGTTCTTGTAAGCATTGCGCCGTTGGCTGCCTACTCACATAGATAAACTCCAATAGGCCAACATCAGCGCAACCATCTCCCAATATAGCACACACACACACACATACATACATACGAATAGACCACAATCGAAACAGATAAAGGTCTATGATATCTCCACTCTACTCGACATAAGTACAATGACTACCAATTGCCGTTTATGTATGATTTACTATATTTGTGAATTTTTGTGTTAATAATGGTCTTGCATAAGTCTAAGGGTATTACGATTGCCCATCACTTAAGTAGTTGACGTCTGTGTTCTACATTTTACTTTCTGCCTACCGCTTATGGACAGCTTAACACGCTTAGCTCGTAGCAAAAGCAAGTCTAAATCTAAGATAAAATTATAGATTGTAAACGGTTTATACGCCACGCCATGGCGTATAAGCCGACAAATATATATGTAAAATCTAACACATCCGAATTATAAATGTTAATAAAAATCATCAAATATAGAGAACCTAAGGCAACAACTCTTTTATTCCTGAAATAAATTGAAGTATTCTGTAAATTGTAAAATGAAAAGAATTGAGTTTTTGCATAAGCGTATTTTTTTAGTGTTTTATTGAAAAAATGCTCCACTCCATTTCCGCCTAATTTTCTACACATTATTTTTGTTTTCTTTTGTTTGTTGTTTTTTTGTATTTTTTTCTCTGTATAATAATAATAATAATTACAATTACATACATAGTGTTTACATACTGCTCCAGCTCCACAAAAATGGCTACTACGCATACAAAATGTATTGCAATTGAATACCTATGGAACCTAGACTGTGTGGGACTTAAAGTCTATTTTGTTTATGTTTTTTGCTTGGATTTTTTGTTGTTTTTTTTTTTTTTTTTTTTTTTTTTTTGTTTTTATTCTTGTTTTTTTTTTTCTTTCTTCCAACAAAGTTTGCTGTTTTGGGAATTTTGTTGATTTTATCTTATTCATATTATATATATATGTGTATATTTTTGTGGGGTTTTTTCTTTTTGTTGATTTTGTCGTAAGTTGCTGTCGCATGCTAATGTTGCATGCCTTTAAAAATGTTTGCAGTTTAGTGGCATAATTTATTTGTAATAAATTAATGAAACATGTAATTGTTGTTTATGGATTTTTTGTTTTTCAATTTGTGAATCTGCACAAATTTGTTGTTGTTTATAGTATTTGTTGCTAGACTTAAATAGTTTTGACTGCTTTTGCTTAAATTCCTCAACAAATATTGCGACTAATATTAAATTACAATTTATTATTTTTTGTTTTTTCTTTATACATTTACAAAACTTTTATGAACCAACTTATTTTTGTATTTTTTTGTTTTTGTTTTCCATTTATATATAAGTATATATATATAAGTATATAAATTAAATTCTATGCTTAAATACATAGATTAATTCCATGCTCACATACAATTTAGTGAAATAAAGCATTAGGCTCAATTTTTAAATTGTTTTCTTGTTTTTTTTTTTAATTGTATTTTTTTTTTTGTTTTTTTTTTTTTCTATACAAAGCTTTGTACAACTAAAGTAGTTAAAAAGAGAAAAAAGCAACAAAAATGTATTTTATATATATGGATGCATCATACATGTGCACATACGCTGTATATACATACACACACACATATATATAAAGAAGAATATGTATGCACCAGATTGTAGTATGCAGAGCGAATGCTCGCCGTAAAAACAAACATTATTATCATTATTATGCATTACAATTATTATTAATTAAATTGTTTAATAATAATTAGTACCAATAACAATATGCCCCTAGTGTTTCACTTTTATGTATATATATATTTGTTTATACTTCACTAAAAGTTATTTCAATGTCAATACAATATCCGAAACTTGTATGTATATCTGCTTATGTGGATGTAAATGAATGCTGTTCGAGTGTGAGAGGGTGAGTGTATGTGTGTGTGAGTGTGTGGGTGTGGATTGTGTGTGGATTTGTGTGTGTGCTTATGACTGTTGGAGCATGAATTGCTGCTCCGGGCGCTTGGCTGTGCTCTCTTCTGTTTGACCATCTCCTCTAAGCTCTATGTTGGCGCCGACCCGCATTATCCCGATATTATTTCGGTGTCTTCCGATGCTTCAGCTCCTGGGCGACATCGTCCAGCAGCTGGGTGGCATAGCCGTTGCCATTGCCAAAGCCATTGGCGAGCAGGACACCGTTCGATTTGTGCGCACTGCCATTGGTCAAGGACGTCACCGCATCGCCATTGGCCAGCGCCTTATAGCCGTTCTTCAGGCCATTCGCATGACCATTGCTGAGCGCCGTGTTGGCATTGCCGTTGGCCTTGGCCGTAGCTGACGCTGCTGCTGCGGCCTCTGTCGTCGTCGTTTGTGGCAAGAACAGATCGTCGTGGGCATTGATGCTCTTGCAGTAGCCGTTCGGCTTTGCGTGTCCATTGGCCAGCGCTGCGTTCTGCTTCTGCGAAAAAAAAAAAATAAAAGCGTGTGAACAAACACATAAAGGAAATATTAATTTGTAATCGCAGACCCACGATGCGTATGATTGATATGAATGTTGCGCATGCGACGCGTGATTACACACACACACACACACATACACACATTAATTTATTATATTTCATTATTTGGTTTTTCTTTTGTTTATGTTTGTGTGTGTGCGGCCCATAAAAAAGCAACAACAACAGAAATACATATTATGCAATCAGCTGAGACGCTTTGTCAGCGTTTGTTTAATATTTTTATTTATATTTTTTAGAAATTTGATTACTCCTATATTATATATTTATTGTTTTAATTTACAGTAAGCTCTCTTTGTTTTTACTTGCATGCACGTATATAATTTAAAATTATTGAATTTTGTATCACGCATTTCATTTACTATTAATAAATTTCGACATGTTTTCTTTTTGTTTTAATTTGAACTTTTTCATTTGCAAAATTTCTATTCTTTTATTGCAAGGTCTGCTAAAAAACATTTGGCAGCAGATACATTATTTTGTGTGCTTATAAATATTAGATAAAAAACACGAGTAAAAAGGTTTATTGACTGCACAATGCTCGTTCACATTATAGAATATAGTGATTAGACATGTTGAACGACAATTGTCAAGTATACGATATAGGCATACGATATACGATATTACTGTTATTTAGTACTAATATATATAGGAAATTATATTATACGATATAAGAATGTATGATGTATGATGTATGATGTATGGTGTATGATGTATGATGTATGATGTATGATGTATGATGTATGATGTATGATGTATGATGTATGATATATGATGTATGATGTATGATGTATGATGTATGATGTATGATGTATGATGTATGATGTATGATGTATGATGTATGATGTATGATGTATGATGTATGATGTATGATGTATGATGTATGATGTATGATGTATGATGTATGATGTATGATGTATGATGTATGATGTATGATGTATGATGTATGATGTATGATGTATGATGTNTTTTTTTTCATTCAACTTTCACTTGAGCGCTGCTCAATGGATGCTGTGGGTCGCCGCCAACGTCGCTGCCGCTGCCGCTGCCGCAGTCGACATCAACGTTGGCCCAATGAGCGTGGAAGATCATTAAGCGACAACATTTTTGGCGCTTTTGTGTTGGACAAAGCAGACTTAAATGTAAACCCAATTCCCCCGAGACCTACTTGACGAAATTTCGTTAATGAATTTAGACCACAGAGAGCGAGAGCGAGAAACAGATGTTTGCAATAGGCGTCTGCAACATACAGAGATCGGATGTAATCGTATGGGATATAAGCGTTCACACGGTTTTCGTTTTCACGAATTCGTGAACGAATCCGGAATCTGGAATACGAGCAATGCGAACGCATTTTATGTTTATGTCATTTTGTGTGGCTTTAAATGGCTTTCAAGCAACGTGGGAAGCCACGGCGGGGCGAGTAGGCCTCAGTTAGGCCTTTCAACTATGCGCCTTGATGGCCGATAATTATCATAATGGGCGACGTGAGAAGCTGTTGCACCTCAAAATGCTCTCACTTCCGGAAGAGAGAGAGAGAGAGAGAGAGAGTGGCAAAACTGGCTTTTGTTTATTCAGTTGAGAGGGTGTTCTGGCACTTACCATTATACGGTTTTTGTAGGCTGCCTTGTAGAACTCGTTGAACAGGAAGAAGAACATAACAGCATGCATGCCTATCCACCAGACGAAGGCCTTCGGGTAATTGCAGTCAATAAAGAGCAATTGGAAGGCGTGCACCATGATAAGAATAAACTGAACCTGCACCGGACGACCATAAATCACAGATTTAATAAACTGATTTTTATAGTACTAGTGATATGATTAATCCGCTTACCATTTGCAGCGTTGTCAGGTACTTCTTCCACCAGAGGTACTTCTGGTACTGTGGACCCATGGCCGAGAACATGTAGTACGTATACATCACAATGTGAACGAATGTGTTGAGCAGGCCGAAGAATGTGCTGTGACCACCTGGAATATATATGCCGCATTATAGGGTATCTGACAACACAGTTGGCCGTTTTCAGGAAACGCACCTGGAGTGAACTTAACACCGAACCACACCGACATGGGCATGCAGCCGTGATGGATCACATGGAGAGTTGTTACCTGGCTCGTCTTCTTGCGCAGCACGAAGAAAATCTGCAAACGAGCATCGACTATTGTGAATCTGAGCTACATTGTGAATGGGAGTCACACTTACCGTATCCATGAACTCTGTGAACTTGGAAAAGTAATACCACCAGCACGCATGAACCATCTGAGTGGGAGGAGGCAGCAGCAGAAAAAATATTGTAAATTCGATTAGCAAAGGTTTTGAGCAGGCGAAAATTTAAATTAAATCAACTCACACACAGACTTTTGGATACCCTAATTTGCGTATGTTTCATGAATGAAACACTTAATCAAATCCTGATTAGGGTATCCACTAAGCACGGCAAGGCCATTGCTTCTATTCCATCACTCACACTCAATTAGAGGCTTCAATTTATGTTTATTGTTTTTAAATCATAATCAAATTATTTTGTAATTCGATTCAATTCAATTCAGTCATTCATGCACACGCTTTAATAGGTATATTAATTGTCAAAATGCAGCAGATAGTTCAAAAGATATAGTAGAGTTGGAGGGGGGTAAAAACATTCAATTAATTGATTAACGGTTTTTGAGAAAATTTGAAGAAATCAGTTGCCTGGCCATTGATAAATAGAGTCTTAAATATATGTATTTTTTCGGGGGGGTTGCATATATAAATATATGGGGGTTTAGAGAGATAGAGAGTGTTTGTATACAGGTTCCAGTTTGGATGGATAGGTAGTTTTTTGGGGTCCAGAGTTTTCTACATTCTGTAAAAGAGATGGGTATCGATTACGATTGTTATCGATCTGTTTTAGTGACACAATTTAAGGGTGCTGGCAGTTATGCATTCAGCATACACATGCTCCGATCTGGATTAGGATCTAGTTGTTGTTGTTGGTTAGCATAAGTTGTAATTATATATTATACAGAATTGGGTTATTGTTTAGGTGTACGAATAGGTGTAAAATTTGATTATCGCGTATGTGAAACCAACAGCTGTGAACCCAAAGTAGATAGACTATATTTATATATATTTATATTGAATATTGGTATGGTAAGTATCTATGTAGGTACTTTGTTGTTTGTATTATCAGCCCAGAACCAATTCAGGCGCACACACCCACACAAGCACACCAGTGTGAAGCACACCAAAAGTATTCTTATCAACTAGTTTATCGTTATCAATAGAAGCTAATCAATATCGTTATTCAACGTCTGTTTGTCAGTTTAACACATACCCTTAACGTTCTAGGATTATTACTATAGTCAACTGGCTGACATCGGAAGCTATAATGTCCTGTTAGCCAACCGGAAACTCCTATCTGCAAATGTAGAATTTATTTTTGTTTTGTTTTTCTTTTCATATATCGAAGTTTTTTTTTTTCTTTTTTTTTTTGGAATGTTTTTCGTGATTTATGATGATTTTCTTTTTCTTTTTGCTGGCATCGGTTTTTCGTTGGCGTTTTGGCATTTTTATTTAGCGGCTTCCAATTGATGTAAAAGCTGTAAAGAATTAGGCATGGCACACACACACAGACATACAGATACACACACACAGATACACACGCATACATTGATATTTACACAGACACACACATAGCTGGAGTTTTTTTTCGGTTAGTAGACAGCGTTTAAATGATATTAATTAAAATAAGCAGCAACATTATTTAAAGCAATCATGTTTTTGTTTTCTTTGCACAAATTAATTACCATACTCTTATATACAGAACATGTATATAGCACTACATATACGCATACATGTGTATGCTTATATATGTAAGTATATATAAGGGCGCTAAATAGAAACCAGCTACACTTTTTGCACGCCTCGCTCGGTAATTGTTTTTATGCGGCGCACTTATTAAAAAGCTAATTAAATGTGATTATAAATTATAAGAGAAATACATAATAAGAAAATAATAATAAATAAATAATATGTATATATGTTGAAAATATAAAGCAATGCTGGTTAAAATTGTTTGATTCGTGACTGAGTCAGAAGCGATTGCATATAAATAAATAAATAGTTAAATATGAAATCCAGTTATGTAGCTATATACGCGGAATGAGTACCGTTGCACTTGGATCAAGTTTTAATTTCATGGACGCAACTGTAAATATATATATGTAAATATATATATGTAAGAAATATATAAGATCTGTCATCTAAACTGGGAACTCTGGATGAGACAATTTCCCTACACTTTTCACTTTCACTAGACACTGAGAGGGGCATTTCCTACTGCATACACAGAGATATATATAGGGTTTTTGTTGTTGTTGTTTATTTGGACACTTACTCTCCTAGATGTGGCACTATCGCTATAGTCCACTGGCTGACAGCGGAAGCTGTACGAACCCCACCAGCCGCCCATTAAACACTAAAAACAAAATCAGATTAATGCCAAAAGAAAAATGAGATAGAGAGAACGTAAGAAAAACATAAAATAAAGTGCACATTAAAAGCGCCAGCAGCAGCAGCAGCAGTAACATTTGCCAGTTGCCAGTTGTCAGTTGCCAGTTGCCAGTTGCCAGTTGCCAGTTGCACGTTGCACGTTGCAAGTTGCAAGCTGATTGTCATTTAAACGCTTTGCGGGCCAGTTAAGCAAGCAGCCAAAACGACGACGACGCCAGCCATAAAGTTGTTGTGGTTGTTGTTGTTGATGATGATGTGTTTGTTCATGCGTTCATGCTTGGAATCGACACTTACCTCATAGAAGAGCCACGCACTAAATACAACCTGTAACGCATTGTACATGACCAGCAGGTTCTGTAGATGTAAGGGCTTTCGATTCTCCATTAATCGCGGGCCAAGCACCTGAGTAGCAAAGAAATTGAAACTGATTAGGCAAGCTGTCAAAATAGAGATAGCAGCTAGAAGAGCTGTCGATTTTTTAGCTCTAGATAGGAATTTCCTATAAAAATATTTCGATATATATTATAGATCAGCAGACAGACGAATTTTCTTCCAAAATTGTATTTGCCCATTTTTAAGATAAGGTTAGCAGATAAAGATCGATAAATTGCCAAATATTTGTGGACATATGTATGTATGTCTAAAATATAAGTTTTTTAGTTGATTAGAAATGCCTTTATGATTGATTGCCGCTTAGAGCATTTCCTTTTTGGAAAGAATATTTTGTATATGTGTTTTCTTGTTAGTTTGATAAATCATTGGTTATAATTATAACTGATAAACTAGTGCGTCTGTGCTGCAGGTAAACATTTGCTATCTTTATCAACTTGGCTTTGTGAGCCAGACACACACAGAAACTAGTTACTGAACAAGATTATATGTATCTATATATTTCCGTAATTTACGATCTGAAAGACTTTCCATTTAAAGTTATTCAACTTCCTTCTCAACTCATTATCAACAGCTTTCGATCTAATCATTTTTTGGCCTCATTTTCAGGTGTATTTCTATGGGTTTCTATAAAGTTATATATAATCAAAGTTCTATTGTAGATATCGTCGTCTAATACTACTGGAATTTCTCATACGTATAGACTTGACTCACAGTACTGTCTGCCTTATCAGCGGGTTGATTATTTGGACTATTATAAAAACGCCTTATGATTAGAAATTCATTTTCGCTCTGAGTTTAGTTTCTATGTAACTGAATCATAAATATAACGTGCTCAGAGCGACAAACAAAAAACAAGAACAAACACGGATAAAAAAAGCGTAGACACTATCAGCGAGTACACGCCCACGATGTGTGTGCTTTCCGCATGGTAATAACACTTGAGATTACGCCGGAGTGACGGCTGCTCTGTGCTGTTCTGTTCTGGTCTGGTCTGGAATATGACCCAAATCTGTTTATTAAGTGGCTAACCATATGGCCAAATCAAGTGGCCATAAAGCCAGCGAAGCACCTGTTGTGTAGTGGCCAGGGTGACGACTTACCTTAACCAGGTAGACGTATGTGAGGCAAACGGCCAGTGTGGGGAAGGGTGATGACATCATGGGCCAGTCCTTTGTCCTTGAATCTGGGCAATTGAAAAGAAAAGAGAGAAGTTAGTAAGAGTGATTAAGCTAGACTGTATATAAATCATTTAAATATAAATAATTAAATAAATAATGCAATTCATTAGCTAATGCCTAAATTGTTTTTCCTACTTCCAAATGTTGTTTATAAAGTGTTTGTTATTGTTGTTGTCTTGTACGAGAGCCTTTGCCATATGTATGTGTAAAACAGCAGTTACATGTATATACATGTATATCTAGATAGTAAGTATCTATATTAGATAACGAGGCAAGCGTTATCATCTGAACATCATTAGCATTAGGCATTGGGCATTGGCCCTGATTTGAGGCAAGTTCGTGTATTGGGACAATGTCACAGACTTGCACTCATTAGCGAGGCTAATGATAATGGTAATGGTAATGATAATGATGCAGCACATCCCGGCTAATGCACAACAATTACAGAGTTCAAGTTTAACTATCTATTTACTTGATATATATTATTTTTTATAACATATTTATATGCATCGTGGCTTTGGGAATTTCTTCACTCCCTTCATTTGGCATTCAGTTAGTTCAGCAGCGATAATTGTCATAAAAATGCGTAAAGTCAAGTCGACTGTTTAACTCATGAATAACTTATGCAACCAGACGAATAATCACGCGAATTTCGATTGCTCAAGCACAACGGCAAAAGGAAGACACAAAATAAATAAATCAATAATAACAATAATAAAATATATGCGTGAGCAAAAAAAAAAAAAATAATCAAAGATAGATAGATGATAAAACTGTAAGAAATTGAACAGCGGCCCAGCCCGCAGTTTGATGAATAGATTAGCAAATCATAAGGAGAAAAAGTCGAAAAACCAAAAGACAAAAATTAATAAACGAATATTAATTAAGGCAAGCGAACTTGATTGAGCAAATGTGCCAAGTGAAATTGTTGCCGAAACGGATTGAATGAATGATTGCGAAAATAAAGGGTAACTCGTCCGGTTATCACATTAGCTAATCATGAAACACGAGCTCGCCCGAGTGCCAAACTCTGAAACAACTTGAGTTGTGTCTGAATGACAGATAGATTTTGTCAGTCTCAAGTGCTTGGGCAATGTTCAAGTTTCTCAATTGCTTAAGACAATTTAGAAATTTGTTCAATAATATTGTTGTAAATCTCTGTTCAAATGTAGAAACACACAGTATGATTTAAAACTTGAGCAGGTATCCAATATTAGGTCGGATTGCTTATACTTTTTTCAACTATATACAATATCTAATTTCTTATATAGTATTTGCTAAGCACATTTCTCACAATCAATGAAAAGTTGTTTAAAGTAAATAAATTGTCTAATGGGAATAAACTAGAATTAATGAACCAGGAATAGACACTGAAATATTATTTTGTTTTAGAGTGTTTTCACACAAGATTTAATATATTTCTATATTCAACCTATCTACCTATCTATTTATCTATATCAATGTAATCCATAAATCCATCTATATATTTATCTACCCATCTATTTATCCATCATTCATCCAGATATCTATCTATCTGCACCTATCTGTCTACCCATCTATATATCTATCTATCTATCGTCTATATTTTGCTATACAAGACCTCTTTAAGACAGCTTAACGAGTCTACAATAAGAGTCTTCAATAAGAACCTCTCTCAACATAGTACTACAATTTTATCAACACTTCAATCGCAATAACATAATAAAGCAAGTCCCAACACTAAGCTCCCTTTAGAATTACTATAGAGTTCCCAAAAGGCATATCTTGGCCTAGGTTTTTTACTGCTTCTTTCAGCAATATTTGTAAACAGACTGATGTTATAATAATTATATATATATGCGTGTTTTGTTAGAGTGGCGCCATTTGGTGGCTACTTTACTTCCGATATAACGCAAATAAGACATATTATACGTTCGCCCTTAATATAACCAAACCAAAGCAAACTCTCTCCCTCTCTTTCACTCTCTGTCTGTCTCTTCCAAGAAATGCTGACACGCACAGTCAAATAAGCAGCAGCTATGGGACCTGTCTCTCTCTCTCTCTCTCTCTCTCTCTCTCTCTCTATACATATAAAGTATATATAAAGTCGAGTATGTATTATTGTATGTGAGTACGTATCCATGTCATGTTGAAACATAATTTTAGCGCGTCGAAATCGCTAAACATTTCTACAAGTGAGGCGGGGCATGCTGCATGTGTGGCATAATAAATAAAATAAATAGAGAGAGTATATACAAAATCTAAATATGCCATAAAGGATGCAGGTTGGAAGAGAGCGAGAGAAAGATAGAGAAGGAGAGCTTCCTAGCGAGCTTCCTGCTAGATTTGCTATTAGCCAAGACACTGACTGACATTGAAATTTTGATTATTAGCTGTGGCTTGGCCTGGACCTAGAGCTGTTTTTTAGCCGCTCTCTCTCTCTGTCTCTCTGTCTCTCTCTCTCTGTTTGGGGCAATTAGTGAGCTGGTGTCAAAAATTACTCAATCATTTGCTAAACCTTTGCTGTTTTGCAGAGAAATGTCAGAAAGAAGAGCAGCGAGCACATCAACAAACAGAAACAACAACAAAAATAACAACAAATACGAAACATCAAGGTTACATAAATTAGCGGGCCTAAACATATACATATGTACATATGTATGTGTATAGGTATGCATGTTTGTACATATACATTTATCATATAAATATAGATAGCTATGTAAGTGTTAGCCATAGCTAGTAGCTGGCACAACTTACCACTATGTGTGTCCATATATCTGTTTATGCTCTCGATGTATTTCATAATTAAGGCCATTTTGTTGCTGTGTGTGTGTGAGTGGGATTCTGTGTGGGTGTGTGTGTGTGTTTATGTGTACTGCTTTTGTTTTTTTTTTTGTTCTTGTTTTTATTGGTGGTTCGTTCCGAATAGTTCAATGCATCTAGTGCAATGCGAAAGATGTCGAGCTGCAATGAGAAAAGAAAAAAAAAAAAAACACAAATTAAAATTATGTAAAATCTTTAAATGTATATATCTATGAATGTAAGTATATGTATAGCTATAAATTATGTTTTATATTTATAAATCTAGGTGGTGATTTATTTGTGAAAAGAAGCGAGAACACTCAAGCTGCGCGATTGCCTTTCAACCCACTAATTATTGCGATAAATAAAATAAATATAATTACATATACATATGTGCACATAAATATATATTCATAAGAGCGGCTGACAGCCAGCCCAGCGGCAACAGCAATAAAATTAGGTTAATAAACTAAAAGTTAATAAAAAAGAACGAAATAAAACATATATATAAAATTGATATATATATGAAAGTGCCCAGTCAGCGTTTGAGCGGCATATTTACATGTTGTTTATAATTTGATGTTCTGGTTTTTTCAGATTTCAACTTGTGGCCAATCGACGATAAGCGTAGACTTTGAGCTCAAACAGAAGATACGATATTGGCCCTAATCAAGCGCATATCAATCTAGATAAGCTGAAATCGATATATATGTTTTTTTGGGGGTTTATTACATAACATTTGAAGCGCACTCGGCGTATGGGTAATATAAATATATTTACAGAGGGAAACGAAAGCAATATTGACCTCAAAAAGTTGTCGAAGGCTTTACCTAAATAATGTAAGGAGTAAACTTTGCACTCTCTAAATATTCTACATCAAGTTATATATGGGATCTGTGTGCTAAAGTGCAACGAAAGTTCAAGGACAGACAAACTTACTGACTAAGCAAATACATCAACGTATATATACACACACACACAAACACACACAGCACGTAAATATACATTTACACGCTGGCAGCACGTAACAGCTTTGCAATTGGCTCAGTGCAAACAAATTTTTTTGGCAACACACATAAAGTGCAACAGCCGCAGCTGCTGACAGCGCATTTTCAGAGCTGCACGCCCTGCACTCCCTCACTCCCTGCACACCCTGCACACCCTCTCATGCCCGGCCAGCTCCTTCCTCTGGCAGACGCACTTGGCATAGCAATATTTGCACAAATACAAATCTGGCCCGAAACAAGAGCCATGTTAGTACAATTGACAGGCCTCTGCATAAATAAATAAATAAATAACTAGACCCAAATGAATAGCAATTGTTGACGTCATTTACACGCACGCAAAACGGCATTACTCATACGCCGTGTGCTACTGTAAATATTAAATAATATTCCGCGCAAAGGAACCTATCTCTCCATCTCTCTCCCCTTCGCTCTCTCTTCCTCTTTTATCTAATTGCTTACCTCATTGCGGCTGCGATGGGTGAGTGAACTAATGGACTCGAGTCTGGCTGCGGCGGATGTAAAAATCGAAGTCTCAGCTTGTTAAGACAATTACACTCAGACAAATTTCATTATATTATTGATCGGATTCAGCGAAATATAGAGGTAGTCATTACTAGAAAAACAACTTATGGACTATCAACATTTCAGCATTACGAGAAATGGATTTTAGCCTTGAGCTGTGACAACACACAACAGTGGGAAATTTGTATGAGGAATCTTCGACTTTGATCATTTGTAATGCTTAAGCTGAATTGGAATTTCCCCTTAATATTTACCAAAACTTGAATAAATTGCTAGCAGTGTAAATATGTCGCAACTGACAGCGTATAAAATTGATTAAGATATAAGAAAAATTAATCCCTTTAGCCACTTGCGAAAATATACAACAACTATACAACAACAAAATAAGATACTTTGATTCCAGTTTTAATGAATTGGTCAAAGCGTGCTAATGCCACGAAGCCAATTATCGAGCTGTACGTGTTGCACGTCGTCAACAATAAACTAAGCCATTGCCAGCTGAATACAAATAAATTCAAAGTCAGAGGACAAAAGCGGATAATAGAAACACACGGTATAAATAGAGCTCAAGACGTGCAAGCGGAAAATGTTGTCAACAAAGCAACAACAACAACAACAACAACAACAACAGCAACAGAGTAGCAGAAGCTATATACAGTTGGTGTTGATTTTTGTCTTCTTCTTCTTCTTCTTCTGTCTTTGTCTATAAGTTTTTGGGTGGGTGGCGATGGTTGAGCCCGATTGGCAAGCGCAACGGGTGACACCACAACATGCCAAAGAGGAGGTGGCAACGGAGGCGACCCACTGGGGCTCAGGCTCACCTTCGCCCAGCCAGAAGAAGCGCCAACGAAATGCGATGCCAGCGACGACGCTTTAAAGCCGTGCCAAATATTGCTATTTCATTGACCTGATTTCACAGCGTGTTTGCTGTTGTTGTTGTTGCTGTTGCTGCTGCTGTTGTTGTTGTGTGCTCCATGTAAGCCCACACACAAAAGCCAAACCATGAAGCAACAATGCACACGAGCATGTAAAGCGACACCCAAAAAACAAAAAACAGAAGAGAAAAGTAAAATAACAACGAAATAAAAACAACTAGCAATAGCGAGCCCCAAACCGAGCCAAGTACAAGCCCCAAACCCGAAGCTAAAACCGAGCCCGTAACGAATTCAGTTTCCAGGGCGCCGAATTCAGACAGCAACATGCCGTTTAACCGGCGCCACGTTGTCACACACACACACACACACACACACACACACACACACACACACACAATATCACGTGATGGCGGCTCTTTATCCCCTCAGTGGGCCCACTTTGAAAACCTTAGCCCTCCTTGCTAGGGTTTCTCTTCGGTCTCTCTTTCTGGGCCGCTTTTGCGCAGAGCCGTTCAGCAAATTTCTTGAATGAAAATCGGGCAATGGGGACTGCCTGGATTCGTATTGACATGACTCACACACACACAGAGCGGCACATTCAGCTTTTTTTCTCTCGTTATAAATTGCGATATTTCAGCTGTATGTATTTTAATACTTGTAGAGGTAACTTATGATAGATTCACAAAATTATATATATGTATTTTATGAAAATTTCAAATTTGCATTTTTATAATTGTTTTATACAAAATTATGCTAATTATTTAATTATTTTATGTATTTATTATGAGGCCATTGTTTTTAAATATTAATATTTAGAGTTTATTCATTAGCCAATTAATGGCAAAATAATTATATATTTTATAACCACATGTTCTATTATAATTATTAAAATTTTTTAAAATTTTCCATATTATTTTTTTTCAATTTAAAAAAAAAAAAAAAAAAATTACATATTACTATAAAATATAAATATACAATATTACCTAGTAGATAATTACTTTAATAAGCTCTATCTCCATTACCCAAAATATAGCCTTTTTCTAGCTTCTAACTAGCTTTTTCTCTGCTGCCCGTCTAAACTGAGGCCAGCACTATGCGGCCAGCGTGAAAATAAAAGGCTAAAGCCAAAGCATTCACGATGAAAACGCGTTTAATGTGCAACCAACACGCCATGAATGACGCCTAAAAGACGCGTGCCTCGTCGTAATTGTTGTTGTTGTAGCTGTTGTTTTAGTTGTTTTTGCGGCTGCTCGTATTATGCCAGTGAGTAAGCAGTGTCTATGGCTGTGTGCGTGTGTGTGTTTGTGTGTGTGTGAGTATCAGTGTGAGCTGAGGGGCTGGGCCTCGCCTCGATTCTTGCCCACCGAAAGGTGTCACGTGCATTGCGAGCCAGGCATTGAGTGGATTGGTTGGGGGTGGTTGTTTGGTTGTTTGGTTGCCTGGTGGTTGGTTAAGCAGCTCGCATTTTCAATTTCCTATTGATTTTCGTGACCGTATGTGTGCGGATCTGTGTGTGTGTGTGTGTGTGTGTGTCTATTTGGCCAAGTGTTGACAGTGCTCGACGGGCCGGGTCAATGAATGGAGGCGCAGTCAAAGGTTGTTTGGCCTACACTTGCAATTATCTGAAGTGTTTGGCTGACAGACAACTGCGATGGTAATTAAATAAACTTGTCCATCTCTTGCTGCCAGCCCTGAGCCTCACAGCTCACGTGCATCCATGAGATATATATTAACCATATCTAAAGCGTAAAGGGCATCTAAGCGACAATTAGACGAAGGTTTATGCGCTATTTACGCTTAAGCTGTTTAGGTATTTGTGTGTGCGTGTGTGTGTGATTAGGCCGAGCTGTTGACCTGAGATTTATTCATGCCAATTAATTTCAATTTATTGCGACATTTGTAGATCAGTCGCTGACAGCCGACGATAATCATGAAAACAATTCGAAAATACAAAATCATTTGACAGCACTGCTAAATAACTTAATAAAAAAACTGGTTAAGAACTTATTAAAATTCCCCATTTGATCTCAACAAAAACTAGGCGCAACTATGAGATACCCTGTGAAAAGAATATGAATATAGCAAATTTATTATTTTGTTTATATTGTTTACGAAATATGAAATACTCTGATAAATTATGAATATAGAAAAAACTATTATTCTGCAAATGAACAACAGCTCAAAATTTATAATAAAATCTATATTCTAGACAAATCATATATAGCTTCTTTTTAGATACATATATACCCATTTAGCTCTACTAACTTTAATAGGTAAATATTAGGCATGTCTTAAGCATCATGAATCGATTTTGACGGAAATTCAACGACAACGGTTCATCAACCGCATTATATTATGTATACGAACCGCTAAACTTCGTAATAAATTAACATAAAGTGTGTCAAATTAGCGTCGACAATTGTTAAATAATCTGATGCGAATTTAATTATTAATTTGCATACGATCGCATATATATATAATATATATATATTACCGACACGCATCAAGCGCACAAAACTAAATCTCGTTTTAACCAATAATAAACAAAAATTACAAAATATGAATTGAAATATTGCTAGTAAATGCTTGACTGGGCATAAACTGTGAACAATGTGGACAATTGTTCATTATCATTTATCACTTGAACGATGATGTAATCCAGGCAATAAAATTTACATATGTCTAGTATACTGGATTCCAGAAGAGTCTATATGGGTAGAGAATGGCTTAGAGTGGCAAACATTTCTTAGCCCTTTCAATTCATTTACATAAGACCGTCAAATTTCTAAAAAATCAAGTTTATTGTTAATGACTCTGGCTATATTTAGAATGGCTGAAATGTATAAAAGATGGTTTGAGTATTGTCTCGAGTTTTACATAGAGTCTTGAAATTGAAGATCTTAGCTTAAGGAACTTTTTCAGGATTCAAACCTATTGTGAATTGGGCTCAAATAAATAAGATATAAATATTGAATTGACTTATTCTAGTATAAAAAGTTGAGTCTTCGTTTGCTTGTTAAGAATAAATAGCGTAATTAATATTGGGTTATCTGTAAACCTAAATTCTGCAATACTTTACATCATTTCTTATTTTTATTATCATTCTTAACCTGTTTCTTTAAGTATTGCTCGTAGGCATTTTTCATAATATTTAGCAATATTTTAATAAATTTATAATTTCAGCCCCGTTTTTCCATTGTATAAATATTATATACATTTTTTATTATTTTTTATTTTTAAGTAATTTTTTGCCTGCTTTAGTATTTTATAAATACTCAATCAATTTTTGTAAAATTATATTATTATATATAATCTTTTTTTTTACCTTGTTTTCACAGTTGGTGCGTGCGTTGCAGTTGTATTGCTGTCTGTTTTGTCTTTTATCGATATTGTTGTTTTTTTTTTTCGAAAAATTTTATTAATAACTGTATTATTTATACAGGTATGTATGCAAGTAGAAACGTGATCAATTTTCCCGGGGCTGTCGAAATTGGGAGGAAAACCAGTTGCATTTAGTTCAGATTCGTATTGATTTATTATAATTATATATGGTTATCGCAATATATCAGCAATATCGCTTGCATTAAGGATATATGTACATGTGTGCGCGTTTGTTGCATTTGTTGTTTTGTTATCAATTATTGAAATTGTTGCTGCGGCAGCTGGCATTCGCCTGGCAATCGATGAATGCCATAAAATTCACATTTACTCGATGGCGCACGGTTCGCTCTCTGGGCTCGCTTATCACACCGCTATGTAAATATGCATGTGTGTACATACATACATATGTGCTGGTGTCTGTGCACGTTTTGTTGTTGTTGTTGGTCAGTGTTGTCAAGCTCGCCAAAATTGGCAGCTAAGTGTGCGTGTCCTTTCGAACACTTTTCGAAAACACTTCGAATGCAATGCGATAGCTGCTAAGATCATAGGCGCAGGCGACGCGACGCTCGACACTGGACATGTAACGGTGGCGGTAACTGTAACGGGGACAATTACGAGACGCGAGACAAGGCGAACTGACCGAGAAACCGAGAGAAGCAAAACCGATGGCAGCGACTAGCAAAGCACGACTAACTGGCTGCCGCAACGGCTGACTAACTAAGGCCGAAGACGCCGTCAAAGCCGCTGTTGTCGACGTCGCTGTGGACGTCGACGTCGACGTTGGCGTCACCGTCAGCTGTCACATGCGAGCTCGCTTTGGTGAATTGACCGAGCTAGCGAGCTGCACTGTCAGCGTCGCTGTCACTGTCACCGTCGACGTCGTCGTCGTCGTCGTCGTCGCCTTCGTAGTTGATTACGAATTTTGAAACATTGATATTGTTTAATGCAAAGTGGCGCGATATATATATTTTTATATATACAATACTGCAGGTATTTTTGTGATAATGTTTGAAATTTATATAGATCATTAAAATGAGCTCCATAGAAATGTAAATTGCAATGCATCGGTGCGGCCCACAACTGCAGTTAGCAGCAGCAATAACAACAACAGGTGAATGCTGCTGGCAGCGACGCTCACGTCGCTGTCGCAAGCTCGAGCGCTGATCGGCTTGGTGCGGCCTGAGTTGGCGGCTTTGGTTCGATGTTGCAAGGGCCCCCAAAAGCAAATTACAACAACGCCAACAACAACAAGCGCGACTGGCATCGACAGCGGCTGTTCGCTGAGATCGAATTCGATTTCGATTTCGGCAACGAGACACGACGCGCAGTGGCGCACGCGGCGCATACCAAACAAAAAGAAAAAGAAGAAAAAAAAAGCCAAAGCTGCGCACTTGTCGATCAATTAATTATTACGGCATTTCACACATACACGAGCACGAACACGCACACACACAAGCGCAGAGGTGCACAGGTATTTGGGGTTTTTTTTTATAGTTTTTGCCTTTTTGTTTTCCTTTCGCCCGAAAATAAATTCACGTTTTTTTGGGACTTTTGCATTAAAATCGAATTCATGGTCAAAGCGACGATGTGTGTCGCCAAACAACAACAACAACAATAGTTAACAGGTAATCTTGACGAAATGGAAATTAAGACGCGCGCCGCCCTTTGTCGCAATCATCTAATTTGTTGTTGCTTATCTATTATGCATATCTATACAAGCATAGAAACACACACGCACACACACACACATAAGCATGTAGATAGATGTGTGTGTGTGTGTTTTATTAGGTCGCCATCGCAGAATGCAATTTTGTAATAATAGATATATGCATATAAACATACATATATACATATGTATAGCCCCCGCGAATATTTAAATAAATGTATTTCAAGCTAGAGCCGAAACTCATATATCACTCTATATAGTTACATAGAAACGGACGATGCTGGCTTGCATTTCAATTAATTGATGGGTGGGCGTTCTTCAAAAGGGTTTTCTGCCTGTGGGTGTGGCGTGCGGGGCTTAGGAATTGTGTTACACACATTTCTGCTAGACAGATTAAATTCAATGGCTGTAATCGCAATGCCAAGATGCTTGTGTTGGGTGGGTGTGAGTGTGGGTGGGTGTGGGTGGTTGCTGGCATCTTCGCTTTTGGGTTTTTCTGATGCCGATTCGGATACCGATTCAGATTCGGATTCGGATTCGGCTTCGGCTTCGGATCATTGGTCGCCCCACGCGCACCTGATGTACTCTTTCGGTCGGGCAGCGCTCTTTCGAGTGCGAGCGAGAGCGTATGGCGCGCTCTTTTGGGTGCCTTCTTCACATGTACATACGTGTGCGTGCGTGCGTGTGTGTGTGTGTGCGGCAAGTGAATGTCTTGGAATTATGTCATATCTTCCAATGCCACACACTTGCCCACCAAAACGTGCACTTTGGCTGTGGCTGTGTCGGCCGCAGTTGTTGTTGTTGTTGTTGCTGTTGTTGTTGCTGTTGTTGTTGCTGTTGCTGTTGTCATTGTTGTTGTTGGTTGGTATCGCTGTTGATTAATTAGCCAGCCGAACTGATTATTGGCAGGTGATAGTATTCCAATACATTGAGAAATGCCAGCGCACTGACTCAATTAACTTGGCCCAAGTGCACAAGGCGAGCATTTGGGAACTGTGGGCTGTGGGAAGGTCGGCGGCAGGCTAATTGAGTGCATGATGATGCGCCCGACTGCCACCCCCAGCCCGCCGCCTCTGTCAAGTGGCGGCTGGGTCTGGTTACGTAGATGTGCATAGATACACAGAATGCAACAGATCTGTGGCATTAACTTATTTATCGAGTGGCCTTTGGCAAAAAGCGTTGCACACAGATTAGACGCTTTACGTTTTTTATGCATTTTTGTTGTATTTTGTTTTTGTTTTTGTGTATTTCGTATTTTTGTTTGCAGGCGGAAACAGGCACTTGAACATTTAACGGGCAGACAACTGTTTTTTTTTTATAGGTATATTTTTTTTGCCATTACGTGTATCTGCGAGATACACGCGACTTGGTCGCGACACGAGGAGCAGAACGAGGACGCAGCGCGTGCATTAATCAAACTGTACATTTATTTACTTTGTTTGTGTCACGTGTAATTGAAAAGAGCTCTTATTAGCATTAGCATTACTATTATTATTATGACGATTTGCAAATTGAAATTCTTATATTTGAATTACGTTTCTTAGCAGCAATTGGGCAGGCTTGGCTTAGGAATTCATTTGTGGTGCGAATGTGAATCGAATGCAAATTTGTTCAAATTGTTATATTTGGTAAATTTTTATTGAAATTTCTTTCTTTTTTTCTTTTGGTCTAGCCTGACCCAAAAGCGAACCAGACGAGACACAACCCAAAGCGAAATGCAAACTGAGGCGCACGAATTGGGCGAAGAGCGCGCGAACCCCACAAAGAAGCAAAAACTGAGTGCCAGCGCCAGAGAGAGAGAGTGAGAGAAAGAGAGCAAGAGAGGGAGAGAGACTGTTTAATAGAGAGAGGGAGCAAGAGAGAGAGAGAGAGAGAGAGTATGTGTGTACTAAGCAAGTGAGTGCCAAGTGCTGTGTTTCTGTATCTTGTGGCTGGCAAGCGGCAAGAAGCAGATGAAGCGGCATTCGACAACCAGCCGTCGCGCTGTTGTGGCAGCGGCTGTGGCTGCGGCTGCGGCAGCGACTGCTAGACGATGAAGAAGAAGCAGAGGCAGAAACACAAACAGAAGCAGAAGCAGAAGCAGAATGGCCGCTGGCAACATTCGCGTTTACTACACACGTTGCGTCACGCGCCAACACAGAAACGAATACGAGCACACACACACACGCACACTTAGTTACGCGCGCGCCCTCTCTGCATATGACAGATACATTCAGCCAGAGCCCGACAGGCACGAATTCGGACGTGGATGTGGATGTTGATGTGGATGTGGCGCAAAAAGGCCGGCTGCTAACCGGCCATATGCGCTTACTTTCGCTCACGCTCTGCCTCTGGCGAGGGCTCTGTGGCTCTCCCGCTCTCTTGCTCTCCCTGGCGGTTTCTTTGGTGCGTGTACCTTTTGATAAGGCATTCGTTCTCTCGCGCTCTCTTTGGCTCTTTGGCAGCGTGTATCCATGGGATATGTGCATTTTTTTGTTGCTACTCCGAGGGTTGTCGCCTATATTCTTTATTTTTATTTTTTTTTTTTTCCGTCGCACGTAAATGCCGCAAAATAAATACGAGTGGCCCAGCGCTAAGCGTAGTAAGCGTGCTTAACAACAACAACAACAACAGCTGCACATACAGCTACACTTGAACGTAGTCACATATGTACACAGATACACATACACACATACATATTTAAGATACATACTCCAGTTGGCATTATGTCATCCAAGTTGAGAGAGGCCTGGCGCTTATAGTTGTTGTTTGTTGTTATTAGTAGTAGTTGCGGTTGTTGTTGTTGTTCATTTTTATTTGGCATTGTATTTTTGTGTTCCTCAATTTGCTGCCAAGCCACCCCTTTTTAGTCGCACAGGACATGGCTCAGTGACTAAATGTATGTATAGACTAAATGTATAGATATACACATATATAGGCGGATATTTGTTGGTCCTGTGTTTGCCCTTTCGTTCGACTGGGCCGCACCTCGCTCGAAGGTGTGCGGATATGAACCGGAAATGATTTTACCCCATTCAGTTAGGTGTATGTATACATGTGTGTGTGTGTGTGTGCGTGCTTTTGGCCMAGCACAACTACAACAAAATTGCAAAGTTATTAACAGTTCAATGTGGCGAATCGACCATGAAATTGGCTAACAACGAAATTCCGGCAACGGATTAACAGTTACAAATGTGAAAAGATTAGATAAGAACTGAAGAGAAGTTTTCGTATGGCTAAAATTAGTTTAAGGAAGCTTCAGTTGTTCTAGAACTGAGATATTCTATGATTACAGTCTGTTCTGGCTTTAAGTCTAGGGCAAATTTGATCACGCTTAAGACTTGGCTTAAAAGTATTCATAAATATTCTAAAAATGTTTCGAAAAAACAAACTTATTATTTGGCTGATGCCACAAAGAGTTCCTATCTAGGTAAAGGAATTTTCTGTTATATTTTATTCTGTGTTGTCAAATATTAAAGTGTGTGATTTTAGCAAGTGAAGAATTACTTAGCCATAGCTAAGGAATTGCCTTATGAACAATGATAATAATTATAGCTACCTATACATACATGGTATACATCGTGTTTTACTTTGCCATGTCTTCGTCTGTTTCTGTTATTTCAATAAGTATTATTTCCCGAAAAACTGAGTCAAAACTAACGCCGTATTGATTTATCATACAATGCTCACTTCGTTTATTGCATTATTATAGACTTTTATGAACTGTAAGTGACAATCGTAAACTGTTGTTCGTCATAGCCAGCACACACTGCGTCGAGTTAACAGTGCCATAAATCTGGGCAAACAGCTGCAGTTGACTGAAAACGGTTATTAGCTGGCAAACTAATTAGCTCATTAGCTGCAAGGCTCATGTCAACTGGCTGACTCTTGGCATACAAATACAATATTTACGGCAGCTGATAGCTGCAGCCAGCCAGCCCTAGGCACATCACTGCAATTGAATTGAGACTATTTTCAATATTGGCCAATAGATAAACACGCACACACACACACGCATAATAATATTAATAATAAAGTAATAATCATAAATAAATTAAATTATATTTCAAATACATTGCGCATGCGCAAATGCGTTTTGTTTGTGCTTGCGAAATGGCATTAGAGAGGCGGGCCTATAAACTTGGCTTTTGGCTGTTGGCCAAAATTCTTTGGCTTTGGCTTTACAATGTCAAAACTGAACGTGCCAAGCGCGTAACCAAAATGCTGTTGTTGCTGTTGTTGCTATTGTTTGATTTTGTGTCATCATCAACATGGCATAAACGCTAACGGTTTATGTTAGCCACACACACGCATACGCACACGCACAAGCACAACATTTACATCTCACCTTGGGCGCACATGCATGCAACTGTGTGTGTTTGTGTTAAAGAAATTGGCCGAGTATTTGTTGTAGTTGTTGCTGCTGCTGTTGCTGTGCCGGCGCATATAAATCGATTAATAAGTTTCGTAAATGAAATGCCATTATCAGCGCTGGCAGCGACGCCGACAGTGGCCGCTCTGCCAGCTTTGCGACGCTGCACGCCGCGGCGTTGCCTCAACAACTAAACGGGAATTTGCTGCCGCTGGCTGCGCAACAACTTCGCCAGGCGCAATTAAAAACAAAAAATGACCAAGAAACGCGCTGCTCTCTTTTATTATTAAATACCCAATCATTTAATTAAAGACACTGCATTGCACAATTAAACCCGCCCACACTTGCCACTCGCTGGCAGCGTGGGCGTTAGTTAGTGGAGCCCATTAAAGTTTAGTCCAAGTCAACTGGAAGTTGAGCCGCTGTTAGCTCTAATGAGGCATGGGTTGAACTGCTTCTGCCTAGGCCAATGTCTTCGGAGCCAGCCTCTGGCCATGTGCCCATCCATTTAAGCCATAAATTCGCTCTGCATTCTGCGCATGCGCCACGGCCAGGCCAACTAATTGAGTCAAGGGCGGGCGACGCTGCGCTGCCTCGCTGCTCAACGTGTTGACAATAAAACATTACATACCCAACAACAACAACAGCAACAGCAAGTACAAAACCGACACGTACTTTGTTTGTTGTACACCCAAAATGTGCCCATGTGGGGCGTGGCCGGTGACAGAGGCCAGCAATTGACTTTGCTTTTGGCAAAAGCCAATAACTGATGTAAAAAACAAAAACAAAATCTATGTCAACATCGAACAATTCAAAATTTTATGTAAACCCACGACGAAATGAATTTTCGATTTTTCGAATTTTCGTTTTTTTTTCATATTGAATTCAAATGTTTGCCGAAATGTTGTAATAGGCCTGGCCAGCAGCCCCCATTGTTGTCATCTTGCTCACGTTCAGTTTGACTGCATTCTCAAGCGGTGCCCAAATAGTGAAAATGCGAGCTGTCACTGAAAATCTCCCTTTGAAAGCCTAATTAGAGATTTAAGCTCTGACAAGCGCTTTCTAACGCTTGGGAAATGAGCGCTTTAATTGTTTTCAGTGTATTATATATATAACTGTGGAGTCTAGGTTTGTTAAAGTCTTCAAACTGTACGCAAATAAAATAATCAGATATTACAATTTGTTTTCAAATACTTTCTAAAATAGAGCTTCAATTGTTTTAAGTGTATTATCTACAATATATGAAATGGGTATTAGTATATTACTGTAGAAAGTCCTTAAGGCCTTGAAGTCTTTACAAGATATGACATATGTATATGATATTTCGGTTTGATAAAATTCATCAATAATTGAAGATTTAATGAAGCAGCTAGAAACTGTGTCTGAGCAATGCAGCAATTTCTAGATATGACTTAAAAAGGATAATGAAATATTCAAGTTTTTGGCAGTCATTTGAAATCGAGT